ATACAGTTGTAGGGACCCAGCTCTCAACTGCTTCCCCACTGCTGGGGACTGGGAATTAGAGGATCTTGTTGCCCTTCTGACTTTCCACCCTGGAAGAGAGGGAACAAGCGTGCCCTACTCCCAGACAGGCAGCCCTGCAGTGCCTCAGTACATTCACTATCTGATTTTCCCTTTAAAATACATTAGGGGTTCATCTAATAGCAGAGTACCTGCACTGCTAAAGGTGTGGCTTTATCTACAAAGTTGTTTTCCTGCACACCAGAAGTCATAGGAAAAAGCAAATGTTGGAGGGGAAGGAAAGCCCCTGGCTGAACTCTGGAGTGGGAAGTGCAAGGCTCTTTAGGACAAGCCAGCTCTGAGACGTCATGGTGAACTTCCCACTTCCCCATGCCTCCAGGGCAACTAGGTGGAGTTCTTGTTCTGCCTGTGATTTCCAAAGGCTTGCTCAACCAGTCTGAGTGCGGTTGCATGAGACCAGCAGCTTCCCCATCCCTTGCTTCCTTCCCTCTTTCCCTGCTAGAGGTGTCCTTCACTCCTGATAGGATCCCAGGGAGGTTTTGCTTCTCTTTGGATGGCAAGAATTTGGCCTGAGTAAGGCAGATCCTTGGAAAGACAAAGCAAGGTCTATTAATCATCGTCCATTTCTTTATTTATTTTGGGTATTTCCTGGTTTCAGTGTTGTACAATGTTTACCAAAGACGAGCAGCCAAAGTAAACCACACGAATGAAAAATTGCAAATGAAAGAGCCAGCCGCACGGCACAGCTGGTCCCATGCCTCCGAGGGCTTCAGTCGTTTCAGATTAGGTGCACACTTGGCATTCTCCTGCAAATATGCCTGCAAGGAATCATCCTGGAATAAACCTGCCTCCATGCACAGCAACTGACAGAAAGCTGAGGCAGGTCTGGAAAGACTCTCTAGCAAGAGGGGGGATTAATGTGCCTGCTTGTTAACTCTGGCAGAGTGTGCAGTCGTCATTGTGCCAGCAGAGTTAGGGAGAGCAATTGGAGAGGGATTTTTTTTTATGATTGGTGGCATTCCTGGGGGATGGGGCATTTATTTGGGGCCTTCCTGCAAGTAGTAAAAAGCAGAGGGGAGCACAAAGCAGGTCCTTCACAGATGGCTGACTGTTTCAACACGAGAAGCCAAAATGAATGAAAACGTTCCCTTCTCCCTTAATCCAGTTGCAGACCTGACTCACCCTGACTTTCTGGTATCAATGTTGTCCTGTTACTCAGTGAGAAGTTATGAGCTCACGGATTTCTTGTCCAGCAAACCAACTTGCCAGCTCCTTACTGAGTTCCCCCTGAAAAGGAAAGGGCTGCCCAGCCGGGAGGCAGAATTTCTCCACCTGCAGAAACAGGGAACAAGCCAAATTCATTCACAGGCTGGGCTTCATCATGAGAAGTATGAGAAATACTTTTTTTACAGAAAAGTTTAGACCACTGAACAGCAGGGGAGAAGAGTCCAGCCAACCTTTACTTTATTCATCCTTTCTCCTATTACTCATTGCATTTTTGTTAGTGACTCTTGAAAAATTCTGTTCAGCTGGAAGGCCTTGCAAATATCAGAGAGGACACTGTTAGAGGCAAACACGGAGGCACCAGAGAGATCACCAAGAAAGATGCCACTTAACAGAGTGTTGTACATCTCAGTATGTTCTGCCTGGCCTTCAAGTCCCAGATGTGAGCTGGGAACAAAGAGTTCAAGGAATGAACCCCAGAGAAATAAAGTACTCTGAAGAACGTATTTTAGAAAAATTTGTTGACACTATTAATCATGGAGCATTCAGGAAATTAATTTTAAATTATGTCATAAAAATAGCACATGAAAGAAGTGTAAATGTAACATAATTTCTATAAATAGAAAAGAATATTTATGTTGACACTGGTGTTAAGTTGTAAGCTGAAAACAAACCAGGTGGCAAGTCTGTTGGGTAGACATTGGATAATAAGACCCAAAGAAACAAAGATCTTCTTGTGCCCACAGGTGCAAACTTCACGGTGAGTTAAGCATTGAAGGACTAGAATTGGAATTGATACAAGGTAGGAGAGTGCATCTAATTTGATGTTCTTTCCCATGGTAAAGCAGATGTAAGGTAGACAAATTCTATTACCTTATGGCTATCTCTCAACCAGCTTATTCTAGTCCTGTAGTTCGGAGCTATGGAGATCTAGCTGTGGAGCTATGTAGTTTCAGCTATGGAGATGGAATTTGGTTGTTGTTTGCTGGTTTTTTACCTATATTTTCTCTGATTCATCTTCCTTTGATAACTCTTCTGTCCAGAAGATGTAAAATTGCATGCCATGCTTTCCATACTTACTGAGATATACACAAGTCCTTTTGGCAGTGCTACAACCCTCTCTTGCATTGCCACAGCACTGCCATGCTCTTCCTGTCACATCCATGTAACTTACAATGTTAGAGAGTCATTCAGCTAAAAGTTTGTAAATCTAGGTATTTCACAGCAGTAGAAAATGCCTTGGTTTTGGTATGGTGTGTTTCTTTCTGTAGATACTGTGATAAAGACAAAAAGGCATCTGGCAGCACAGGAACAAGTTACATGGTCTTTTCTGAACCTGTCATTACTAAGCTGGTACTGTTACAGTCAAGAAAATTTATAGAAGAGCAAGAAATGCAATCTGAAGATAATTTAGAAGGAATGATTAAAATAGCTAAGTGTGTGCTTGAAAATCAGCTTGGACTGTCTGTTTTCAATCATGTTCAAATTCAGAAAGTCAGAGAATGGTCCAATATTGGAAATAACTTATTTGAAGATGATTTGGTGGCCCTATCAGAAACCACACACACATTTAAAATACTTACTGACATCTTTTTATGATCAGGCTTTTCTTTTTCAATAAAAATTATGTTTCCATGCATGTTTACAACTCAGTTGAAGTCAAGCTTCTAAAAAGTTTGTTTAAAAATTATACAATTGCAAAAGAAGGCAATAGAAACAATCCCTGCAAGAGACTCACAAAACATGTTGTTTTTTTCAGTGAGTGAAAAAAACCCAGGAAGTAGTACCTTAGATATTTTCATATTTTAAAGAAATGTGGCATACTGATAGGCTGTAAATCCAGAAAAGTAGATACACTGAAGAACAAACTTCTGAAATCTTGAATAGCTGAGAAAAAAAGATTCAGAATTGCCTAGTTTTCTCTTTCTGAAATCCACTGTCATGTCTAAAATATTCCACAGTATCAGATACAGGGGGAGTCAGCAGCTGAATGCAAAGCTTGAACTACCTGTGCAAAATACATCCTAGCTATTATCTTTTTTGGAACAAATACAAAAATCCTGATATTTTTATGGTGCATGATAATGATCTGCTTAATTTCCTGCTCAGATTCTTACCCAACTGTTAAACACAATTTTTTTTCTATTGTATAACAAGCAGTTAAATATGTATCTCTGCATCCCATAACAAGCAGTTAAATATGTATCTCTGCATCCCAGCAAAGTGCTTTCCACCTCCGTACAGGAAACAAACTCTAACTGGTTCTGCAATGACTTGGTCCCATTCCCAGGAATGTTTCCCTTCCGTTAAAAAATCCCCAAGAAACAAAAATCCCAAAGCAAAACAGGAAAAAGAAAGCACTTTTTTCAACCTATTAGCACTAGTTAGGCGTAAGCACAAAATATGTTCGTGTATTCCTCTGAATGAGGCGAGACTAGGTTTGCTGGACCTTCCCACACTGGAATGCACCAACACGCATGTCCCTTTGCCCAACCTCTCTTGAGGGAGCTTTTACTTGGAGCTGAGCAAAGCTTTTTTCCTCCTTATGGGAAATTCCGGTGCCAGAATGTTAAAGCCTGACTTCCTCACAAGAGCCTGCCAGTGATGACTTGCACCCGGTGGGCTGTGACAGGGTACTTTCTCCCCTGGTGAGATGAAATGAAGCAGAAGCTGTCCAAACAGTGAGCATAAGAGATCCCATTCCTCTCTTTTCCCAACCCTGCCCCCCTGGTATTGCAGCGTGTGCTGGGAGCCCATAGCCGTAAGTGTTTGTGGCTCTCTCCAAAATACTGCAAAATCTTTGGAAACAGGAATGGCACCTCTTTTTTAAAAAACTGGAAATATGGCTTAGGTGTCCAAATACCATTCTGGGCAGCCCATACTAGATGACCTCTAGGCCAAACAGCCTAGGATACAGCAAAGCAAACTGAACAACACAAAAGAGTGAGATAGGTGGCTGTAGAGCAAAGAAAAAAGTTAGTTCAAAACACCATGTGAGTGGTACTTGAGAAAGCTACACAGAAGTATTTCCTGAAGATCTCTAAAAAAACTTAAGAACAAGCTTTGTATGTTGATAATTTTGTAACATTATGAAAATGGCAGAAAATTTGATTTCCAGATTATGTCTGTTGTTAGGGGATGGATCCCCAGCAGCAGCAAGCTGGGAGCCTACCTGCCCAAGTACATTTGGGCTGAACTCTGAGCTTCTAGTACCATCTGAGTTGTCTCAGAGTTTTCGTCTTGGAGAAACAAATCTGTGTGGTGATAATAGGATTTTAGTATGTTTGTCACAGTGTTCTTCAGAATAGGGTGTCAAAACTTGCCTTTTTTTCCATTGTGTATTACTGGAAAATATGTATTTACTGTATATCCTAGTATTCCTGTAAGAAACAAATTTTTTTCAATGTACCTAAAGGGCAAAGTAAGAAAGGAACTGTGTTGTCCAGTTTTGCCTTGCATGTAGGCTGTTTCCTGTTGAAGCAGTTTCCTTGGGAGTCAAGAACTCACCAGAAATGTTTTGGTAGAAATTACATTTTCTCTTTTGAGTCATGCTGTTACAACTGCTCTAGAAAAATGAAACTTTCCATATCATTAAGATAAGCTTTGGTGTCTTAGCGTGTAAACTTCCCTGCAAAATGCTCCTCAGTTAAAGTAGAAAATCAGTGTTGTGTTTTTCTGACTGAAAGCTTTCAGGAAGGATATGACAAAAATAAATCCACAACTCTGCTTCCTTGGCAGAGGCAGTGCTGTAGGCTAGCTGCTGAATGACTAACCACTTATATCATTATCGTGCTCTGCCAAAACTGCCGGGTAAGGATTGCCCAGAAGAAAAACAAAGGTAATTGGGTCCTTCGCATTTAAACTTCCAGTCTGGAAATCTAACCAGGGGATTGAGCAGCTGGCAGGGTAGGCCTGATACAGAACACAACAAAGTTAAAATGGTTTCTTTTTCGTTATCATGTACCTTTTTGCTGTAGCTTGAAAATGAATACCTGAAGCTCTGCAAGACAGATTAAAACACAGACACCAGCAGTGCATGCGAAGAATCTATTCCCAAGACCATGAAAGGATGCCAAGCCATTCTGCTTTCCATTACATGAATGTTATACCTCCTGCTCCAAAGACTGCAAGGACAGATTTGACTTTTAGCTTTTCCTTGCCATCCTTTTCTGGGGGCACTTAGGGTAAGAGGATCCCAGATTCAGCCTGCCTGACACTGCTGCAGCCAAGCTGACATACTGGCACATCCAGGTTACCAGTGGTAAGTATGAGGAAGCAGTTTTGTACTGTTTACAAAGATTTGGAAAGTGTGCTTTCTGCTTGCATCACAGGCTGGTCAATAGTTTCATTCCTCCCTCCCTTTTCTACTGCTTCTGCTTTTTCTTTGAGGCAGGGATCTGGGACCTGGATTAGGTCCCTTCTGCACTGCTCACTTGTCCTTTCTCAGCAGAAAAGCAACAGGCAGCTCTCAATGTGGACACTGACACAGAGAAGGAAAGAGAAGAAGGGGGTGGGGGTAGGGGAATGCAGGATCCTTCCGTGCGAGACTGGGAACGGGAAGTGCTTAAAGAGTGCATCATGCCCACTTTGAGTACTGCTTGTGCTGCTGTTGGATAAACAGGAACATTTAAAGCAAGACAGCTTCAGAATAATGACCACATCTCTATCTAATCCCCATCTTCTGCTGGTAAAGGCTTGTGCAGTGTCTGTGCTTGGAACATCTGCAGTTACAAAAGCACAGCTTTGTTGCAGAGCTGCATGCTTCTCTTAGGAAAACGTAGTGTAGGTAAAGGAATGCGACTTGTTTTAAACAGTATTAAAGAGGAAGGTTAATCATAGCTTAAACTTGGAAGAGAAGAGAAAACACCTACAAGGTGCATCTTTGTTCAATGCTAAACATGCAGTTACTCTGGAGAAAAAGCAGTTGAAGAGTATTCTCATCTTAAAGGACAGCTTTCTCCTGCTTTTGAGTCTTTGATTTCAAAAGAAGTTGTTTTGAGCCATGCTGCACCTCAATTTCAAAACTAATGCTCTGGGAGGCAGGTGAGTGGTACCTTGTCTGTGTGTGTGGAGCAGCTTGTGGAAAGCATTTTTGCACATCCTCAAACCTTCCTAAGTCTGGATAATGTGATAAACCCTGACAATTGCCCACATTTCTTGGCGTTTTAAACAGCTTGCTGAAATGGACTGCTTGGTATGTGAACTGTGGCACAGTCACACCAGTCCTCTCTTTCTGAGAGAAACTAGAAACCTGGCCCACTGTAGATCCATCTGTGATGAGAGCTGGCTGAGCCTGGATGTTAGGAGAAAGTGACTTCTTCTGAAAAAAACAGCTGGTGCCTACCTCAATTCTCCACAAATGTGTGGTGATGAAGCTGTAACAGATAGAAGAGTGTGCCCATTTCACATTGAATTATGTACATGGCCTTCTTTTCCAAAACTCTTCCGAAATTAATTAAAATTTTTTACTGCATCAGAGAGATGCAATTTTGGAGACAAAAATATACAATAGCAAGTCTCATTGAACCCAGACTTAATATTTTGAAAATGGAAGGCTTCCCTATTGAAGAGCAAGAACCATTTCAGCTGCTAGAGGGAAGAGATGTCTTTGGGGAAGTTAATGACATCCTTTCACTAAAAGACTATTTCCCTTCTCCTCTCTGCCCCACAGCTGCTGTTGCCTCTGTTTTACAATGTTATGCTTATCAGCTATCCTCTGTAGTAGACAGAAAACACAAGCGTATCTCAGTCTTCCAGTTTCTTTTTTCTTAACCTAATGTGCAATGCTAATGCCAGTGCAGTGGAACTGAAGGTTGCTATGAGGTGCATTTGGGCTCTCTGTGGGCTTTGCCACCCTTGATCACACTGCTGCTGTGGGCCCTCTGACAAGTGGCAGGAATCCGTCCATCTGTCCGCTCTCGGGCAGGTACCTCTTGGTGCAAGAGGGCAGCAAAAGGTGTCAATTTTTGAACACAGAAAAAAAAAAAGGTAAATGCAATAGGAATGTTAGTGTTTAATTTAATGGACTTCCCTTTCAGAGCTGGTAGTGATAGTAAAAGGGTTTTAAAATTATGGGGATTTGGGGAGTTAGAAGGAAAGTTAGGCTTAGGAGGCCCTGGAAAAATACCCTGGAAAAGTATAGGCCTTGTACTTGCTAGAACTGCACCTGTGTAACCAGTATATGGTAAATTGTATAATTGTTAGATGTGATGATTGTTTAGTAATTAAATGTAATTACTGTTTGATTGTAAGAATAATCATGAGAAGCTGGGGTCAGGGGCTTGAGAGAGATCATGAGAGATTCATGCTTGAATAAGATCAATGTATACAACAGAACAATATAAGTTTAATAATTAATATGTAAGTTATATAATGATAGAATATAAAATATGTTCAGCTCAAAAGCCATGTCAGAGTCAGATTTGGGTCTGTACCCCTGATTCCCAGAGCTCTTCAATAAAAGCACCTGCATGTAATCATATCCCGTGATTATGTGTATTCCTGAACGCTAACAGTAGGACAACTCCCTGCCCCTTTATGCAAACAGCATACTTGGCTATTTGACCAACCATGTATTACTTCAGTCAGGTTAAAATGACTGCCATCAAACCTCCTCTCTCAAAATTGCCTTTGATGTTTACAGGGAACTACTTTGCTTCGGACTGTCTTGTGCTTCAGACAGAATATCATTCCTGGTCTTACTCATTTTCTGTTGGCAACATATGACTGTAATGTTCTAGGAAATTAAAGGATGCTGAGTGTTTCTATAGTACCCTTCTTGACCAAACAATTTGACTTCAACACTTAATATAATACATGCATCAGTATATATTGATAATATTTTACAGAACTTACATAAGTTGATTGTGCGGAGATGTTCTGTTCCTCAGCACAGTGAACAATCCCCAGTGCCTACCAGACAAAAAATATTGAAAGTAGAGATACAGGGAGGTGAATGCAGTTCTGCCTGGGAACTATTTCTGCACTTAAAATGGAGGAAGTGGTTGTGAAAGAATGGCTTGCGCAAAATGGTTGCATCAGCCTTTCCAGCAATGGGAGTTTACTGACAAAAAGAAGAGACTGACACTAAATTTTATCTTTCAAAGAAGAGCATTCAACTACAATCTGTTCTCATTTTTTGTGTCCCCAGTCAGCAGCAATGGTAGAATTGGTTGAAATGTGAGTTTGAAGGGTGAGCCATACATGCTGGACAATCCCGGACTCTTCAGAAGCCATGGTTTCCTCAGGGGAGCCACCACTAGAAAGAAGAGATGTAAACTGACAGAGTATGATTCACTGACTGCATAGTTAAAGGACAGTGGGAAACTGGGAACATGTATTTTTTTTTTGAAGAGAACAATTATTTTGAGGCTGAAATATTTTCTCGCTTCGGGACTGTCACCTCATCAGACCTGCCAAAAATTTCCAGCTTTTGTTGTGTTTGCAGGTATAAGGTGACCATTCAGATGCCTTGACCAGCACACGAGGCAACTGGAGCACAGCACTCAGTACACAAGGTAAGTACTTAACCTCTGCTTATTCAGGGTTTACGGGTACTGCTCATGTGCACTACTGGAACTGTTTGCGGTGCAAACTCGGTGAAGTGTTCTTTGGCACCTCTGTCAGGAAACACAGCCCTTCTTTACATTAAAATCAGTATTGTTCTAATTATATCCACTGTTTATAGGGTGACAATAACATCCATGTCCCATCTATGACTGGTGTTGTTTTACAGAAAAGTCTGATAGCCTTCATTTCATATCAGGTTGTTCTGCCTTTCCAGTAAAGAATGTGAATTGCTTACACAGTGTGTAAAAGGGCGTGGCAAGAGCTCTGCTTTTAGAAGCCCTGAGGCTGGTGAGACTCCATGCAGGGGACCCCCAGATCTCTTCTGGGAAAGTTTGTAATGTTGGAAACCTCAACCCACGGGAAGGGCTGAGAGGGAGAGCAGGCTCTGTTTGGGCTTCTGCCTGCCATGTAGCCACAGAGAATGGGCAGGCTGACGCTGCATGGGCTGTGAATGTTTGTAATCAGAGAATCACAGAATCACTTTGGTTTAAAAAGACCCTTAAGACTATTGAGTCAAACCATTAACCAAATATTGCCAAGCCTACCACTAAACTATGTCCCTAACCACCCTATCTGCATGTCTTTTAAATACGTCCAGGGATGGTGACTCCACCACTTCCCTGGGCAGTCTGTGCCAGTGCTTGGCTGCCCTTTCTGTGATTTTTTTTTTTTTCCCCTAATATCCAGTCTAAACTTCCCTTGGTGCAACTTGAAGCCATTTCCTCTTTTCCTATCACTTGTTACCTGGGAGGAGAGACTGATCCCCACTCACTATACTCCCCCACGGACTACAGACTAATTTCAGGCAGTTGTAGAAAGTGATAAAGTCCCCTCTGAGCCTTCTTTTTCTCCAGGCTAAACAACTATAGCTCCCACAGCTGACTCTCTTAAGACTCACATTCTAGATTCTTCCCAGCTCCATTGCCCCATTCTGCACACACTCCAGTATTTCAGTGTCCTTCTTGAAGTGAGAGGCCCAAAACTGAGCACACTATTTGAGGTGTGACTTCACCAGTGCCAAGTACATGGGGACAATCACTGCCCTGGTCCTGTTAGTCACACTGTTCCTGATACAGGCCATTGGGCTTCTTGGCCACCTAGACATATACTGGATCATATTCAGCTGCCAGTTGACCAGTACTTCCAGATCCTTTTCTGCTGGGAAGACTTCCAGCCATTCTGACCCCAGCATTTAGTGCTACGTGGGGTTGTTATGATCCAAGTGCAGCACATGGTACTTCATTCTGTTGAGTCTCATACAATTGACTTCAGGCCATGGATCCATCCAATCCAGATCCCTCTGCAGAGCCTCCTTATCCTACAGCAGATCAACACTCCCACCCAGCTTGGTGTTGTCTGCAAAGTGAGTGTGCACTTGATCCCCCTATCCAGATCGTTGGTGATCTAATCATCTTCTCCTATTTAGAGCTGAAACATCCAGCTGTACCTTCTTTGCTCTGAGGAAGCATAATGTGAGAGATGAAAGAGGTGAGAGCCATAGCCAATGTGCCTATAGAAAAGCAGGATACTAAGAATGGTCCTTTATGGCTCTTAACAAGTGATATGGCTGTACTCCAAGGATGAGCAACACACCGTAGTTGTAGGGCTGCGAAGGTTAAGTAGGAGAGGAAGACTGACATCACAGGATAGCACATTAAAAAATTTATCTGAGATTACTAAAAAATGGTGCAGGATTTCAACAGTTTTCAGATGCTGTTCAAAATTAAAATTTGACCCTCCCATCTCTTTTTTCTGTTTCCTGCAGCAAAATGTCCATCCAAGCAAAACACAAATCAAGAATGACAAACACCTGGCGAGTGTTGGCCATCTACGTGATCTTAGCTGCAAGTCTCTCTGAGCAACAAGCACTGAAGCAGGCTTGTCCTTCATGTGATGGCAGTCAGCTTTGTAACTGCTCCTCCATGGGCTTGGACTTCATTCCCCCTGGGGTCACAGCCATAATTACAGTGTTAAACCTGGCCCACAACGGGATAAAGCGCATCCAATCCCAGGACCTGCAGCAGGCTGTGAACCTGAGAGCCCTGCTGCTGCAGTCCAACAAAATCAGCTCCATAGATGAGGACTCATTTTGGTCCCTGGAAAAACTGGAGCTCTTGGACTTATCAAATAACAGCTTGGCTCACTTGTCCCCTGTGTGGTTTGGGCACCTTTTTTCACTCCAGCACCTCCATCTTGAAGGCAATTCCTACAGAGACCTGGGGCAGAGCTCCCCCTTTTCTAGCCTGAAGAACTTGAGCTCTCTCCACCTGGGCAACCCGCAGTTCTCTGTGATTCGGCATGGGAACTTTGAGGGTATTGAGCTTCTGCACAAGTTGTGGATTGATGGTAGCAATCTCAGTCAGTATGAGCAGGGAAGTTTGAAATCAATTAAGCAGATCAATCACATGATCCTAAACCTAAGAAATGGTTATATATTCTCAGAAATTGTTAGGGACCTTCTGCACTCTGTCACTTGGCTGGAAGTGACAGAAATCAAATTACCAGTTGAAAGAAAAAGCTTGGTGCAGAATTCTACACGTCCTTTTAGGATACAAAAACTTACGTTTAAAGAAGCTTTCTTCACGGATGAAACTATTAGCCGAACAATAGTGTCACTGAAGGAAATCACCTCTTTAAAAGAGTTAGAGGCAATTAATTGTGTGCTTGAGGGGAAGGGAATATGGAACACTAAAGAAATTGCAAGGAGTGGGCAAAGTTTTGTTGAAACAGTAACAGTAACAAAGATAATGATTCAGAATTTTCATTTGTTTTTTGACCTGGAAGGTATGGAGTCACAAATAAACAAACTAAAAAGACTCAGTATCGCAAGCTCTAATGTTTTCATGGTACCGTGCAAACTTGCAAGACATTTTTCATCATTGCTGTATCTGGACTTTCATGATAATTTGCTTGTAAATAAGCGTTTAGATGAGACAATCTGTGAACATTCTTGGCCTTCATTGCAAACTTTAAATCTAAGTCAGAACTCTCTTAAATCTCTGGAACAGACTGCAAAGTATATATCTCGTCTACCAAAATTGAATAATCTTGACATTAGCCAAAATAATTTTGGTGAGATTCCAGATGTGTGTGACTGGCCAAAATCCCTGAAATATTTAAACCTGTCCAGCACTCAAATTCCCAGAGTAACCACCTGCATTCCTCAAACGCTAGAAGTTTTGGATGTTAGTGGAAACAACCTGAAGGAGTTTGGACTGCGGCTCCCACTTCTGAAAGAGCTGTACCTCACCAGAAACCAGCTGAAGACCCTGCCGGGTGCCGCACCCATTCCAAACTTGGTGTCCTTGTCCGTCAGCAGAAACAAGCTGAACAGTTTCTCCAAGGAGGAGTTTGAGTCCTTCAGGAGAATGAAGCTGCTGGATGCCAGTGGCAACAACTTCATCTGCTCCTGTGAGTTCCTCTCCTTCATCCACCACGAAGCTGGGATATCCCAAGTGCTGGTGGGGTGGCCGGACAAGTACGTGTGCGACTCTCCGCTGGCGGTGAGAGGGGCGCAGGTTGGCGCTGTGCACCTCTCCCTGATGGAGTGCCACAGGTCCCTGGTGGTGTCGTTGATCTGCGTCCTGGTGTTCCTGGTCATCCTGCTGCTGGTGGCCGTCGGCTACAAGTACCACATGGTCTGGTACCTGCGGATGACGTGGGCATGGCTGCAAGCCAAGCGGAAGCCCAAGCGCGCCCCGCCGAAGGACGTCTGCTACGACGCTTTTGTCTCCTACAGCGAGAACGACTCCGACTGGGTGGAGAACACCATGGTGCGGGAGCTGGAGCAGGCCTGCCCTCCCTTCCGGCTCTGCCTGCACAAGCGGGACTTTGTGCCGGGGAAGTGGATTGTGGACAACATCATCGATTCCATTGAGAAGAGCCGTAAAACGCTCTTTGTGCTGTCCGAGCACTTTGTGCAGAGCGAGTGGTGCAAATACGAGCTGGACTTCTCGCATTTCCGCCTCTTTGATGAGAACAACGATGCGGCGATTCTCGTCCTCCTGGAGCCCATCCAGAGCAAAGCCATTCCCAAGAGGTTCTGCAAGCTGCGGAAGATCATGAACACCAAGACCTACCTGGAGTGGCCTGCTGGTGAAGAGCAGCAGCAGGTGTTTTGGGAAAACTTGAAAGGAGCCTTGAAGTCATAGAAGTCCGCAGCCCCCATCTCAACATATTTCCACAAAAGGCTGCATATCACTGTGTCTTGCTGCTAAGAATATTTTCTTATTTTTCTTTGTAACTGCAACTGGCTTTGTTTTATATAGAGATAACTATCATTTTACCAACTGGAAAAGGCCTGTTTTAGGATTTTCAGTAATTTGATGCTCTTGTCTTTAGAAGTTCCTGCCAATAACTGTGATATTAGGAAACAGTGTTGGACTTGACATACTTTTCTAAATACATTTTGCTGAGTGCAGGGCATTTCTCTAATTTTTACTCCTGTTACCACTATCCCCAACTGGTTTCTAACAATGCCATAGTAATTTTCAAATTAAATTAAAAGCTATGGGCTTCAATCAATATTTCCCTGTGTCCCTTTCTTCCTGGGAATGCTTGTTTTTCTCTTCATGATCACCACCACTTTCCTTTCTACCTACTCACACAAATAGCTGAAGCCTTCTATTTTTGAATGTGAGACTGGGTTTCCAATGTGTGGGCTAGATGGTGTTGCAGACTGGCTCGGTTTTAAGTTTTGCTCTTCTACTTCTCAGAGCGTATTTATGTAATCACTGGGCCATGCAGGTCTGACTGCTCTACTTACCTTCCTTTGTAGTCGGTGATGAAAATCACAGGGATAAGAGGCAGTTCATCTCTGTACTTCAGTGTGAGGTATCTCCTAGAACTACATATTGCTCTCCAATGCTTACAAAGGAAGTCTGGACAAGAAGGTAGATACAGATGTTTACGTTAAGGTAGTCAGTCCCACACTGAGTGCTTGGATTTCTTGTATTTTAGAGTTTCTTATTATTCAGAGACCTGAAATTGTCTGTGAAGGGATTAAGTTAGGTGTGGTTTCTCTAACTCAACATTTTCATGTTCCCTATTGCTTAGTTTGTTGGAGTTTAAGTACAAGAAAGTCTAGATCTTAATCAAATTTTAGCCATGTAATTATTTTGTGGTGAAATACTAAAGCCTTGGTGTATGGGCTGACTAAATATTTGAAAAATAGCAACATTTACGTATATTTTCTGTTGCTATATTTATACATCTTCAGGTATATGTTTGTATGTGCTTTTATAAATGTGTATCTATTCACACTCCTGTGTGTGTATGTGTACGTGTGTCTACACAAGATAATTTCTTGTAGGTGGAGCCTGCAAACACCACTTTCAGTTCTATTTTCCTGTTACAATGTTGTCTCCCAGGGCTATGAAGGCTAGGAAGCAATTTTTCTGTTAACTGTCTTGGAGAACCATAGCTCATGCTTTAATCAAGGCTAAGATCTAGGTAGGTGATGAGTGAATCATTCAAGAGCAAACACTGAGCCCTGATAAAACAAATTAGGAGAAACATGTGCTTAGAGGTAAGAAGGAAAATAAATCTTGAAAATTACAAAGATACGGTCAAAGAAAGATGTGGGAGAAGCCTTAGATTTTGCACAGTACATTCTTACCATAGATCCAGACTTCTGTGTTGTCACATTTAAAAGGCACGATAGTGTAGCTGCTCTTATGCCAATCAGATCACCCAGCTGGGAATTCCCCTGCTTACATTGTCAAAGTTGAGAGGTGGAGTGGAAACGGAACAGCAGCCTGAGAGGAAGCTGGGCAAAGAATGATCAGCAAGAGAGAGACGAAACACAGCATAGGCTAACTGGCATGCAGGCACTAGAGCTGCAGGTGGCATCTCTGGGAATCTTTTTAGCACAGAGGTGAGTTTTCAGGTAGGTGAAGGCTGGATATGCAGGGAAAGACAGTGGAGCTGCAATGCCAGAGCTAGAAGCAAACAGGGAGCCCAGGGAAGAGGCAACATAATCTCTGCCGCCGGTCCTCCTCTGCAAGGGGTATTCAGGGTGCTCAGGGCTGCTGGGCAGGACTGTGGGGTGGGGAGGGATTTCTGGTTGCCAGCAAAAGTAGAGCAGGGAGGTCCAATCACAGGCATCTGTCAGGGATGCATGGCAGGTAAAGGAAGGTTCTCCTGGAGAGATGTGACATGCTGATGAGACCAATGTCCTCTGGGAAACAGGACAGTGGAAAGCAGCAAATGAAAAAGAGACAAATTGGGTCAGACTGTGCCATTTCTGCAGTTTCCTCGTGGGAGGGTGTCTTGTCCTATTTGTACGTTGTCTCACCTGTGTTGACTGCCCAGGGGAGGCTGCGAGTGAAGGTGGGGTGCCTCAGTTTCAGGAATTCAGTCAGAAAAGAGCTCACTGAACAATGGCCTCAGGACATCAGCTGCCTCCTCACCTAACTCTTACCTGCTGCACATCTTCTGTGTCAGAAACAAGCAGAGGCATGGCCCGGTGTGTGTGGATGTGTGGATGTGCATATGTGCTGTTAGGGCAGTGCTAGGGGTTGAGAACTAGGGCATGCATAACCCACACACTTCCAGGTGGAGAGCAGCAGCCTTCCCCAGCCTGCTTGTGGTTTGGCCTCTTCACCAACCAGTGACTCTTCCTCTGCAGGCTCCATAGCACTGCTCAAATTTACCAGCCATTTAGCTGGGTAGTGCTCCCCAAGCTAGAATCAGTTTGCACGCCATTGGCATGCTTTATTTCAGGTCTTACATTAACCTTCCCCATTTGTGAGCATTTATAGAACCTCATTCTGCTGTCAGTCATGGTTTTGTTTAGGAAAATGTGTATTTTCTCAAATACTTCTACTGATGTGGGCCAGGGAAAATAAGCTTTAGCATGTGTGATGGCTTGGACCCCTTTTTCATAACCCAGATACATTTTGAATGTCTGGTTCATCACAGCACCTTATAGCATAAAGGCATCTATGCAAGTTTATATATTTTTAGTTGTATTTCAGTTTCATTTTCTTACTGTGGCTTTTTAATTCCCAGCACAACAGGGAGAAGTGATTTCTTGATAGGGCAATGGTATCATGGGGCTGTATGTCTGAGTGGGTGTGGAGAGGCCTGAAATGACCTTGTAAGTCAGGGTCTCAAGCAGAATCATTAGGCAGGAATCAGAAGGGGAAGAGAATGGCCGAAAGTGAATGAGAATGGGAATGGGATTCCTCTGAGTGTCTGTTCAGGTTACAGATGAGCAAAAAAACTGGAAAGTCAGCATCCTGAATTGCCAAATGTAGTTCAGTCCCGCAGTACCTGGATTTTCAGGCTGGTAAGGTGGAGAGCCATTGGGCTCTGCTGGTATTTCCTGTGCAGTATCTGCCCAGTTCCCTTGTGTGCTGTCAATTTTCCACCTATAAATAACCTGCCTATAGATAGCTTTTGACTGATTAGGTTGCCTGGTTGCTTCATTTTCTAAAAGTAAGTATTTTGATGACAACTGTAAAAATACCACCTAAATCTGTTACTGGTACAACTCACTCTGCTCCTAGATTTACTCCTTTAGCCTACAGCCCTGCATTATCCAGTTACTCTTGGGAGACCAAAAAGCCCTGCAAAAGAGCCTCATATGGACAGCAGATGAGTCTAAATACAGATCACAATTTTTTGTTTGGGGTTGATGGGGACAAATGTCTAGGTATCTAAACTATGATACCCCATTTTAAGGCAATCAGATAATTTCTCTTGGAGTCAGCACATCTTAATCTGGGTGTCCAAGACAGACTGTATTAATTGCTCCTAAAATATGTTATTTTTCTCCATTGACTTTGGAGGACATGGTGGATGACCAGGGCAGCTGTGGGCATCTAAAGATAGGGAAGAGAACCTTGTCCTTCAAGATCCAAAGTTCTACATCAGAGCCAGACAGAGATAAAGGGAAAGTAACACAAGGCGTCAAAATGTTTATAGTCCTGCAGTTGGGAAGAGATGGAATGACTAAAAGAATTATCCATAACCTTTTCTCCCCTCCCCATATGCCCAAACCATCTCAGTCAATTTTACCCCTTTTGGATAATCTTAAAGTTATGACTAAAAATAATGCAGCTGGAAGGGTGGGACTTCTCTGTATTAACTTGTAAACATGGGTCAGCTACTGTAAAACAAATCAGAATATTAATTCAGAGTAGAGTAGATCTTCTGCACAGAATCTCAGTGGGATGACTGAGGGAGAAAGCAGTTCTCAAAGATCCAATCTAAACTGATTAACTTGATAGAGAGCCGACAATGATTTTGTGAACTCATTGATTGGTCTCTTAGGGGATTGTTCATTCTTTCCACCCTCAATAAGATACCTACTGAGGTAGGTGGGTTTGTGGCACGCTAGGGAAAATTACATTTAAAAAATGCTCTTTCAGTCCAGCTATTTCAGTCCAGAAGACCAAAAACAGGCTGTGGGGCTGGAAAAAGCTATCTAGTCCAGTTAGCTGATTGTATCTGAGCCCCTGGCACTTCCTTGTGGCTTGCCCTGATCTCTCTGCCATAGGTTCCCAAAACAGAAAAAAGCCTTAGCTGAAGAGAAGGATGTGGCAGTAAAAAGGAAGAGCTGAGGCAGTAGGCAACAATCAGTTGTCAGTTGTCAGTTTTACAAGTTTAAATTTCATTAGCAAGTATCAGACTTATGGCAACATGAGAGTCATCCAGGCAAGTATTTGTTTCCCTGCTCACCAGACATTTACAATCAGAGTAGGAAAAGGCAGATAAAATGAAAAATGGACTAAACCAAATGCATTTCTTTTCTTCCTATTGTCAGAATAGAGATTAGACATATGCTTGAGGTAAGTATTAAACCTGAATGATACTATCTACTGTAGGATGCTAACTCTTCTTGATGTAACCAGGATTTGAAACATGAACAGGAGACTCCCTCTGGTAAAAAAATGAATATAAAAAATAATATTCACAGATTCAGAAATAAAAGACATGAGGTGAGATTGAAATATGAAGGCCACTTACTAAACAGGAGGAGGATCAGAGTAGTAAACGAATCTGTTTCAACTCTGAACTGTATTAAAACCAAATATTTTAACAGTGCCTTCAGCAAGGCAGAACAGCAAAACTTATATTCTAGATTTATCCAAAATGTAGCTTCTCCAGAACAAGCTACGCATCTTATCTTTGCTCTCTGTTTCATATTTTAGCAATATAATGACTGCACACATCTGGCGAGTGTTGGCCATCTACGTGATCTTAGCTGCAAGTCTCTCTGAGCAACAAGCACTGAAGCAGGCTTGTCCTTCATGCGATGGCAGTCAGCTTTGTAACTGCTCCTCCATGGGCTTGGACTTCATTCCCCCTGGGGTCACAGCCAAAATTACAGTGTTAAACCTGGCCCACAACAGGATAAAGCGCATCCAATCCCAGGACCTGCAGCAGGCTGTGAACCTGAGAGCCCTGCTGCTGCAGTCCAACAAAATCAGCTCCATAGATGAGGACTCATTTTGGTCCCTGGAAAAACTGGAGCTCTTGGACTTATCAAATAACAGCTTGGCTCACTTATCCCCTGT